ATCAATTCAGAGCTGTAACAAATTACCTAGACGAGGCTAGGAAACCCTACTACACGTACCAGCTCAAAAGTAGCAAGGGCTTGCAAGTAGTGCTAAAGGGCATAGAGCCCGACGTATCCACCAATGAGGTAAAAGAGGCACTGAAAGAAAAAGGATTCTTCTCCAAAAATATTATTAATATTATCAACAAAAATAAAAAGCCGCAACCACTCTTTAAGGTCGAACTGGAGCCTGAAAGCAGAGCCTTGAAGAAAAATGAAGTGCACCCGATCTATAAACTGCAATACCTGTTGCACAGAAGGATTACTGTTGAAGAACCGCATAAGCGGAATGGCCCGCTGCAATGCACAAACTGCCAAGAGTATGGACACACCAGAAACAACTGCGGGCTTCGTTCAGTCTGCGTAGCTTGTGGTGGCTTCCACAAATCCGAACCTTGCCCTGCAAGCAAAGAAGACCCAAAGACAAAGAAATGCGCTAACTGTGGAGATAACCATACCGCAAACTACAGAGGCTGCCCGGTCTATAAAGAGCTGAAGAGTCAGTTTCAACAAGCAAAACAAGCACGCTCCCAGAATGCACGAAATGCGTACGTGCAATCCCAAACCACACCTAATGTTTTCTTTGCGAAAGCAGCCAGATCTTCATTTGGGCCCCTCAACACAAATGGGGGAGTTTCATACGCCAGTGCCCTAAAATCAGGACTTGCCAATCAGACGGGGTTCCCACAAGCTCAATGCTCTGAGCAAAATATAATAACACCTCAGCAAGCAATAGGACAAATACCAAACAGCATGGAAACCATGATGCTGACTTTACAACAGGGTATGATGGAATTTATGTCCTTCATGAAAACAACAATGACAAACCTTATGCAAAATCAAAACATTTTAATAAATTTGCTCACATCCCAACAATCTAAATAATCGATGTCTTGTCTTCGAATATCCATGTGGAATGCCAATGGCGTTTCACGGCACAAACTTGAAATAACTCAATTCCTCAATGAAAACCAAATAGATGTAATGCTGCTGGCAGAAACGCATCTCACAAGTAAATACAACTTCCAAATAAGAGGTTATACTTCATACTGCACAGATCATCCGGACGGTAAGGCTCACGGAGGAACTGGAATCCTAATCAGGGAACGCATTAAGCACCACTTTCACCAGAGGTTTGCAACAAATTATTTGCAGGCTACATCTATAAAACTACAAGCAGGCAACGGCAGTGTCACTATAGCCGCTGTCTATTGCCCACCGCGTTTTACAATAACTGAAGAGCAATTCATGGACTTCTACAATTCACTCGGAGATCGCTTTATAGCAGGAGGAGACTACAACGCCAAGCACACGCACTGGGGATCAAGGCTAGTGACGCCCAAAGGAAGACAACTGTATAAAGCAATCATAAATTTGAGCAACAAACTCGACTATGTCTCCCCTGGCAGCCCCACATATTGGCCAGCTGACCCCAGAAAACTCCCGGACTTAATTGACTTCGCTGTGACCAAGAACATCCCAAGAAATTTAGTCAGCGCCAAATCGCTATCGGACTTATCATCGGACCACTCGCCTGTTTTAATAACTTTCCTTCAAAGCCCGAAAGTAATCGAGCACCCCTTCAGGCTGACCTCGACTAGAACCAACTGGCTAAAGTACAAAAAGTACGTAAGTTCCCACATTGAACTAACACCACAGTTAAACATAGAGAACGACATCGACTTCTGTGCTGATGCCCTGGAGTCAGTACTCGTGGCAGCAGCCAAAATCTCAACACCAGAAGAGACAATCGTGCGTAGCAACCAATACAAAACTAATCTGCAAATCGAACAACTGGTTCGGGAAAAACGACGTCTACGACGCGTTTGGCAATCCTGCAGATCGCCCCATTCGAAGCAACTCTATAATGATGCCACCCGCAGACTCACCAAAACCCTCAAGCAAGAAGAGGAGCTTGCGCAGCGCCGGTACATCGAGAAACTGTCGCCGACCAGTACAAAGCATCCTTTGTGGAGAGCTCACCCAAATTTAAGCTCTCCGATAGAATCAGTCACTCCGATTAGAAACTCCTCGGGTACTTGGGCCCGCAGTGACGAAGACAGAGCCGAAACATTTGCCTTACACCTACGAAATGTATTTCAGCCGAACGCCGCCACAAACTCTCTTCAACTACCGCCGTTTAGCTCTGAAATTGCAATTAACCCGATTTTGTTTCAAACACCTGAAATTGCTAACGTCATTAGGAAGCAAATAAAACCGAAAAAGGCTCCAGGGGCCGACCTAATAACCCCAAAAATGATAATTGAACTTCCAAACTGCGCAGTGGATGTTATATGCAAGCTATTTAACGGGATCGCAAAACTTGGCTACTACCCCAAAAAATGGAAAAAGTCCGTGGTTATAATGATACCGAAGCCTGGCAAAGACCACACAATTCCCTCATCGTACAGGCCAATAAGCTTACTATCGTGCCTGTCCAAATTACTGGAAAAATGCCTGCTCACGCGCATTACACCATATTTAAGAGAACAAAACTTAATCCCGGCACATCAATTCGGGTTTCGTGAAAGCCACGGAACCATCGAGCAAGTCAACCGGATAACTTCAGAAATTCGTACAGCCTTCGAACATCGGGAATATTGTAGTGCGATATTCCTCGACGTCTCTCAGGCATTCGACCGAGTGTGGCTTGAAGGCCTTATGCATAAAATCATAACATTACTGCCAGAAAACACTCATAAGTTACTTAAGTCGTACCTCTACCACAGAGTCTTTGAGGTTAGATGCAATACAACGACATCCAACGAGTATAACATTGAAGCCGGAGTCCCACAAGGTAGCGCCCTGGGCCCTACCCTGTTTATCCTATACACAGCAGACATCCCTACGAACGAGAGGCTGACTACGTCCACATTTGCTGACGACACCGCAATCCTGAGCCGCTCGAGATGCCCAACTAGAGCAACAGCTCAACTGGCTGATCATTTGGTGGTAGTTGAAAAGTGGCTATCAGACTGGCGAATCAAAATTAATGAACAAAAGTGTAAACATATAACGTTTACCCTTAACAGACAATCGTGCCCGCCGCTAACTTTGAATGGTACGCAGATTCCCCAAGCCAGCGATGTAACATATCTCGGCGTCCACCTCGACAGACGCCTAACCTGGCGGAGGCACATTGAATGCAAGAAAGTACATCTCAGACTTAAAGCTAGCAGCCTACACTGGATTATAAATTCTCGATCACCCCTGTGTCTGGACTTTAAAGTACTTCTCTACAACTCCACCCTCAAGCCCATTTGGACCTACGGCTCCCAGCTCTGGGGGAACGCGAGCAACAGCAACGTTGACATCATACAGCGATCACAATCAAAAATCCTGCGAACAATCACTGGGGCACCATGGTATGTTCGGAACGAAAACATCCACAGGGACCTGGGCATACCACCGGTCAAAGATGAAATAGCAAAGCAGAAAGCGGCCTACCATAACAAGCTTACACTGCACCCAAATAATCTCGCAAGGAACCTAAGACGGGTTTCGAACAGAACTCGTCTGCATCGTAACGATCTACCAGCCCAGCAATAAATATTAGGGCCCGTTAGTCTAAATTCAGTCTACATGACTGTAAGTTAAGTTATATTCTTAAGATTTGATATACTTATTGTTAGTCTCATATAGAGAAGATTCAATAAATAAAGCATATATTTACAAAAAAAAAAAAAAAAAAAAAAATATTTTATGTCAACTTGAGCATAAGATTCTAAGCCTAATCGGCTTGCTCGCGCAGTGTAACTATCAATATACAACTTTATAACTAGATGATGTTAAATTATGCCTGCAGCTTAAGGGGGTCTTCTAGTCTAGAGGCTCGAATTTCGACCTTTTTTTAACAATTAATAAAAAAAAAGCAATATATATTTTTTACTATCCGTTTTTTTATCACTTGTTTATTAAACTTAAAGGAGTACAAAAAATAAATTTCAAAAAAAAAAAATTAGTTTTCATTGAGTTATTCCTTCTTGAAGAAGAGGGAAAAAAAAAGAGGACGTGTCCGCGTCGCCATGATATGTATGCTTGTAGTTATCTGAAAACTAAAACAATGATAGATTATTAATGAGTACGAATGTCGCTATGGCATGAACCACCAAAAAAAAAATATCTTTTTTTTTCATGAAATGGCGGCTACTCAAAGAAAAAAGTCGATTTTTTTCACTAATTTTTCCACTTTGTCGAATTTTTAAAAATATTATAAATTTAAAATTTTTTTTTTTTTTTGGTTCATGCGATAGCGATATATTTAAAGAATATTCATGCCAAATTTCAAGTAAATCGACTGATTAGAACTTGAGTTAGAGTGGCGACCGCATCAAAAAAAGTAGTTTCGAGAAAAACGCGTTTAAAGTTCCAGTCGTTCCCTCAACCGGTCTAGTTGCCACGTCACTAAAACGGCTATAGCTATGAAAATAATTTGAGTTTTGAAAAATCCTTTTAGGAAGATATTTTTGAATATCCAAACTATCGAATTATGAAAAAAAAAATTTTTCGATTTTCTCAAATTTCTAGACTAGAAGACCCCCTTAAGGATATTTCCTGCCCTTTAGACTTCCAATCTGATTAAGACAAATTTACACATTTTTGCGGGGATAACTTACTAAAGTGCAAGCTTTTATCGGGACTTACACGTTAAGTGGCAGCTCTTTGGATAGAAAAACTTTTGAAAGCGGTCTTGGCGACCTTTTGGACCCAAACTGAAGTTTTCTGATCATAGGGCGTGGATCAGCCCGCAGTGCCCCAAGTCCAGACGTTCAGCCCCCGACTCCAAATGCTAGATACCAAACGATCACCAGTCTTCAGTGTCTGGCTTTTGATCAAATCATGATATTGTTAATTTTGATTGCTAATTTTGAGACCCGAGTGTCACTGGGCGCGGCCACAAGCTTTGCTAATGCCAATTCATAGAAAAATTACAACTTTTATTTCAAAAAACTACAAAATTTACATCGATTCCCGCATCAAGGCCAGCAAACGATAGCAATTCGTTAGAATCTACATAATTGGTAAAGAATATGATGGAATATTCAAATTTTAAAATACTTCTGTATCCTTACCATCATATAGGTGGCCAAGGTAAAGGGCATAAAGGGTTCGGCCACAAACATCAGAGGTTTCTGGGCTCGTAAAATCACAAATGATATATCCCTCAGAATGGCTGGGGCCCTGGTGTGCAAATCGTTTATAGCAAAAGCGGCCTGGGCCACCTCCAAAGACTGTTGAATTAGAAATTTAGTAAATTCAGGGCACACAAATGTATACTCGACGAAGCAACATTTGATAGTAATTAAACATTGTTTTGATTTAAATTTAGTGGAAGCCTAAATAACTAAAATAATTAAATTGACCTATTTAATAAAATCCTACCTGAGTATAAACCAAATTCCCAGAGACACACCAAAGCGACAATTGAACGAATGCCACCATCAAAAGAAGCACAAACTTGGCGGCCATTTTGGGGTCGAGATCCGCCGCGACCATGGTCTCGAAAGTGGATATGGAAATCATGGCAACACTAGCCATCAACTGCGCATTGAAGGAGCCATTGTAAACCGTATTGGCTTTCGCCACCAACCTGTAAGCTTTAATCGATAATCTTGGTCAGAAGTAGAGATAAATACCCACTTGATGATGTGCTGGTGAAAGCGAATCACCTGACAGAACTCCTCATGGAAACGGGCATCACTTACTGCCCCCATTTCCCCCAGTTTCCTCAACTCAATGCACAACATCTTAAGATTTAGAGCCGTCTGGAGGAAGGTGGAAATACCCAGCAAGTCCACCATTAAGATGCTCATCACGTTGTGCTGCGTCGTCGCGCTCATCCAGACATAGGCAAACCAAAACATATTGGGGTGCAGATCCATGCGATGCCATCGGAAGGGCCAAATTGAGTGATAGGGAAGCTTTCCCTCTCGTATTAGGAATTGTAGAAAAATGGCAGCGCTAAAGAAGTTGACCAGAATAAAACAGATTATATATAGAACCGACTCAATCAAGTAGCACAGCCTCTGCCAACCCAAGACCTCCTCATCGTCTTGATGAGGCCTCAGCTCCCGATTGTAGTAGTCAAAATCCCAAATAAGTTCATCGATCTGGTCGCAGCGCCAATGCATGTAGAATATCTTAATAAAAATCAGGCCCATCTGTCGGATATAGAGTAACATTAGTTTTTGGGACCTGTGAAAGACTGAATCCGGGAAACCCACTCCTAAAATCCACACCAAGTCGTCGCCCATTTCGATCACGTTCTTCGACTCGGGCAGAGCGAAAACCAACGTCAGGATAATGCCCATCATATTGAACATGATAACCAGGTTGAGCCACCGGTACAGAGACAAAGGAGCCAACTTTTTGTTAGGATAGTGGCCCAGCATACTGTCGATTAATCCAGAAAGGGATTAAGAAGATAGATGAATGACGGCAACACTCACATTAAAAAGGCTCGAGTATAGTTAAAAGCGAGGCGTGGGATGACACCAGGAGTTGCCTGTCCCAAAACCGAACGAAACTCTTCCCAGAATTGCCGCAAAATGCGGAGATTTGATTGATAGCCACCGCCTGCCATTATATTAACTGTACTTTATTCCAGCGGACTGCTCCTTTTATACAATAAACCCTTAGGGCTCTAATTACCATGTTTATAAGCAATTGTTTTGCCGGCAACGCCCACAGAGTAGATTTCCTGAAGGGATTGCATGGAGAACATGTGCTGCAAATCGCACTGCTTCGATCGATTTCCACTGACATATCGGATAATATATCGTATATAGTATATTGGTGGACCCCTCAGTCACTCTCTACATCGCTAAGTAAACGTAACTTTGCTTAATGATTCTGTTTATTCACAGTTTTAGAAGCGTATATCAAAACATGATCATCGCATAGTGCTCCCACACCCTATATCCAACGAATTAAAATAGTGACGAGTTAGATTCAATTAACCTGGCACATAAACTTATTGTAGCATATAGTCATATTCTGCATAGTTTCAAATTTCACCAGCACACTTTCCTTTATTATCCCGATCCAGTGGGATCGGCAATCAATTTGATCCCATACTGGTTATGGAAAGTGTCTGGGTTGGCCGTGTGGAGGTATCCCTGGGTGGATGTTCACTAAGAAACACAATGATTCTCTAGCTTATAGATGGATCTCGTCGGATGTGTCACGCGTTTCTTTCTCCTCATATTTATGGCATACCCGATATACTACGAGAAGTTGTAGTGCTCAATCGGTAATTGATTCAAAAGGATAGTAATTATCAGATATAAAAAGAAGCGAATTTTGAGGAGAGAAATACCAGCGAATCGGCTAGCTAAGGTATTGTCTGCCCCTATTCTATACACCCCCATCCTTAGTAAATCGGTAGATATTCATTGTTACGCCTTATCAAACGTTTTATTTAATTATTTAATTCATAATCAAGGAAATTGATATTCCCATCTTTAATTATATATAAGAAAGCCGATTTCGCCCATCGAAGACGCAGGTGCTGCTGTGTGAATTATCCCTAAAGCGTTGTTATTTTATATTAAACGGGCTGATCTGTGGCGATACATAGGCACAAGTTCCCGAAACTGAAGGAAAAAAAACTTAACTTAGAAATGTGTCGGAATTCAAAATAAACAAGAAATCTAAATATAAAACTAGGAACGACTCCTGTGGCAGCGATTGATGACACCGGCGCTTTCCGTTCAGCCACGTGTCCTCGATCAACTAAAGCGGCTATGAGTCGATGAACGGTATTTGGTATAATTTTATTGTCTTTTAAATGTTTTACCAGTAACAGTATTGCCGAAGAAAGCGAGCAAATTCTTAGTCGAATCCTCGATATGCACCAGATCGGACATGCTGATTAGATGCGGCGTATTTGAATTCGATATTTCCTTCATTTGTTGCATATCCAGGATTGCAATACCATTTTGTATTATATACCAGATATCATACGAGAGCTTCCAAAATATATTCAATAGGGGTATTAAATTTCATTCCTGAAAATTGTGAAAAATACATATGTATTGTAAATGATGGTCTTTATTTATTTAAATTTATATTCCTCTCTTTATTTTCACGTGCTTGTTCGTTTTCTTGTATATTTATCGATTAATTCTATTCAAGTTATGTTCACATTATCAATAGTTATCGCTATTCTTAATTCTAATTTATAGAACGTACTCACTAGTTCTTATCACATTTCAGGATATTTACACTAAATACAATATGTACACTCTTAACAACTATGTTTACAGTATGTACATACATCTAACATTTATCCAAAGCTATAGACACTTGTGATTAACGAAGAAAGCGCTCTTCTGCGTTTGTTAAAATGAATGAGTTCATTTATAATGGCATCCAAGTTTTGTCGATTTTTCAAACCTTTATTATTATTCGGGTTATCCAAAAAGGCTCTGAGCTTTGAGTAAAAAACAATCTTAAAGCTCGAGTTGCCACCAATAAAGCTCTACTCAATGAATAACACCCAAATTTCGTACCAATTTGTAAGCTCAATTTTACTAAAAGCTCCTGACAAGTGTATACCTATTAGGAAAATATAATATTTATGTTGCAGAAAAGAAAGTTTTTGGCTGTTGCTGAACTCTAAACACCAATGTATAGGATATTTACATCGCTATCAATGCCATTATCAGGCAAAATAACTTTACACAAGCCAACACACTTAAACGAAAAGTTATTAACATAAATTCTTATACAAACACCGAGGATGCGAGAACAAACTCGAACTCGGCCCAAACTCTGGCCCAGGTACAAGAAAAAACTTTCCACCGCAAAAGTCAAAAGTGCTGGGCAAGAGAACCAACCGATTCCCCTGCACCCAGCACCTTAACCCTCGTCATCATCATCAAAAATTGGAGCGTTTCTTTCCAGCCATTTAAACTTTGCCACGTTTTCCTGCGATCGTCTCCAGGCGAATGCGAGAAAGCGCAACTTGAGTATTTAGAAATTTATTTAAAAGTTGTGCTAAGGGGAGCTTTCCCCGCCCCCTTTCTTTTCCCCGCTCTTCTACTTTTTTCAGCAGTTTCCTTTTCACTACGCCCAGTTACGCGCATAAATTTTGTTATGGAACTTTTTCGCAAGGTTGTTGTGGCCGTTATGTGTAAAAGGGAGAAAGCGGAGAATGCCAGTGAAAGTTTTTTGCACAGGGATCCGTTTTACTTTATTTAAAGTATTACGGTAACAATAAAGATGTGTGTAGGTATTCCCAAAAATATGTTCAGTAAAACCATTTTAGAAATCTTCAGAAACAAACTTTCAAATACGAAAATTTATTTCTTAAAATACAAACCATTCGCATTAGAAGGCTTCATTTTCTAAAACTTATAATTTCTTATTGTATTGATAATTATTTCCTGAACACATGCTAATTGTTTTAAGCATCTAATTCGTATTCATTGTGCTTTTGAGATGTGTTCTTAATAATAATCATTATTTTGCTTTTATGATATGAATCGTAGCAAAAATTGGACGGATAATTATGGATACAACATCTGGTAAGAATGAATAATTCATGAGCTAAATATTTAACTTATCCTTTAAGTTTTGATTTGCCACCGAAACTCCATAGTTAACTTTATATTTTTTTCTGTGGGGTCGTGCATATTAGAATGTCACTCCTAATGCAAACGAAATGCGGCTTTGGAAGATGCTCGGCTGCACTTTCCTTTTTACATTATCTGGGCTCACCGTACTCGTAATTCTCCGTTAAGTCGCCGCTGGCGAAATTCCGTTTCGTGAGCGCGGGAAATGAGGGCCAAGAACCCGCTCATAACTTGGACCAATTCACAAAATTTGCGCACGCAAAAAGCTTGTAAACAAACACAATAAATTTGAGGCTTGGCGCTGCACACAAAACAGGTGTTAATCCTGCTCTACTAAAGCTTTTGGTTCCTTCTCCTTTTCTTCTCCTTTCTCCAGCTGTTTCTGCTCTCCATCTAGTTACCAAAATTTCGCAACAACTTAAAGCTGACGGCAGAGCACTGAAAGGATTCCCAGCCAACACCAACAAAAAAGAGGGATAATCATAAAAAATTTGTTGCACACGGAAAACAATTGCACTCATTTGTAACACATGAGGGGCGAGAGAAGAGAGTGGGCGAACCAGCAATTTGCATTTGTTGTTGGTTGCCGTTTTTCAGTTGTCCTGGGCAACTACGTTCTCAGAGTAAAACCAGAAGGAACGCTAAAGTAGAGTGTTACGACCATCAAATACCGATTACTCCGACTTTTGTCCATGTTTTACCTATAGTTTGGCAGTTTATTGCTTGATTGTAAATATAAAGCCAAGCTAGCTAAATTTAATATTTTCATTTTCATGTTCATTCATTTTTTATCTTTTGATTTATTTAACAATATTTATATAAACGTTGCTCGATATGAAGGCTACGTTGCTGTTATCTCTAGATACCTAAAAATCGTTTTTCTTTTCGTAAATATACAAAGTTTACAAAATATAGTTCATTCTTTTATTTCAAATTATTATATTTACTACTTACTGCATTTTTGGTGTGAAGGCTATCTATCAAAGAGTAAACCTTATTTTGTGGTAATTAATTATGTGCCTTTTACAGTTTTACCAGACACAATATGCCAATGTTATTTACATGTAGTGGGTATAACTAGCGGAGAGAAGAGCTTGAGAGCAATGGCTTCAGTTGCTATACCCCAAACAACTAGTATTACTTCCCACACACACATGTGGACAAGCAATGGGTATACCTCCATGTTCTGGTTGCCATTTGGCTCTAATACCGTTATTTAGTTTTAGCATACGAGCAGCTTTAAAAGGTTATCTCATTTCGGGCATTCTTTCGTGTTTTTGTTTTGCGTTGACGCTAAAAGAAAAAATAAAATCGAAAAAAAAACAAATCCCCCCAAAAATTAAAATAAAACTGCTACCGTAAAGAAAGAATAAAGCTGAAAATGCTAAGCGCATTCAGCGCAGAAAAACTAAATGTACAGCTGTGGTCATTGAAATATCACGAAAAAAAACTAAATTAATTGAATGAGTTTTTCAATTCAAAACAAATTTGTATACCCTTGCAGAGGGTATTGTAATTTCAGTCAAAAGTTTGCAACTCAAAGAAGGAGACTTTTCCGACCCTATAAAGTATATACAGTGGCTCACAGCTTATTTCAACCAGTGCTCAAGTAAAACTTTAAATCGCTGTATTTGCCAAATTAAGAGAGATATTGGAACACTTTAAACGCAGATTCATAGCTCTGTATTTTAACTTTTATTTCATGAATTCCTAAATTTTTAAATATTTTTGTAATATTTATTTTGATTTTAAGACTCAAATAACAGGTAAAATGAATGCCACAGCTTATTTCAACCAGCCCTTAAAAGTATATATTTTTTTAAAGATTAAGAACTAAAAATGATAAAATAATATTTTGTATGACCAGCCTTCGTGTAAACAATCATTTTAAGTCTTTTTGCGATTGATTCGACCAATTTTTAAGTCACTTGGGGACTCATTTTGGCCCCTTCTTCGAGTAATGCGTTTTTTTAGGTCCGTTTGACGCTTTCGAATTTTTCTGTCC